AATTAAATATTTTTAAAATGTAATTGATATATCCAAATTAAATTTAATATCAATAAATCATAAATATTATAATAAGCTATTTGCTTACTTATTTATTTTCACTTATTTGTGAACGAATCAATCCACAGAAGCATTTGAATGCAATCAAAATGCAAAGTGAATTTGTAATTTTATAAAAAGTATTTTATATTAAGTTTATAGGAAAAGATCAACCAAATAAGTTTATATTGAAAAACAACTATTGTTATTAATTATTGTTACTTAAATTAAATTATTTTCGTTAAATATTTAATATAAATATATATTAATATTATAATATATTAATATACATTAATAATGATAAAAAGTATGACATTTGTTGTTATTAAATGATAGAATTCACTAAAAGTATATAAATATGAAATAAATAAAATAATTTTGTGATAAAAATGATAAATGAGGTTTATCTATTGTCAATACTTTGGTCATTCTCATTTACACCTGTAAAAAATAGCCAAAAAACACAATTTTTGTAACTGGGCTGGGCAACCCGACACATTTTGAAAAGAGCTGAAAAACATGTTTTTTTAAATTTCTATTATTTTAAGTTTAACTATTCTTTTTTTGGTTTATTCCTTTTGCATTATTTAATTAAATGATAAAACAATAGAAACATACAAAAATGTTGATTATTACTCAGTATTATACAGAAATATAAGCATTACTCCTTAAGTGAGCGGGGCTACCCGACTCTCCCCTTTATGTTTATAAAAGTACGTTTTTGTGTCTGATTTCTAACTGTTACTGTGAAGTAAGTTAGCACTAATTATTTGAAGTCACACCCTGGAACCATTAAGATTGACACTTAGTTCTTGAAAACCCGATAATAAGAACGGAAGTTATGCGGGGTGATTTCTTTTTATTTTTTATTTTGTGCGCTGTACACACATGTGTAGGGCTACTGTAGAAAAATCAAGATAAACAAAATTCTTTTAGTTGCAGTAAATGTACATAAACTCTAGCAGGAATTTACTTCTTTAAAATACCATTTTGACCTTCGGAGATCTGGTAGGGTATAGAGAATATACCATAAAGTGGTATAATTCCCCTCATAATAGTGGTATATAATTCATTAAGTATTGAAATTTCAAAATTTTTTTTTTTATTAAATGAGTCCTTTTTATTCGCAGAATTTATATTTGAAGCACATTCCTACTTAACAGGAAATCAAATCTGGAATTGAAACGTAAAAATTAGAAACTAATAGTATACAAAAGAAAATATAAAATCCTGTAATTAAAATTTCATGTTAGATGCATTAATTTCATGTTATATGCATTAATTAATTAATTAATTTCATGTTATATGCATTTTTCGACTAGTTAAAATTGTTCAAATTTCAACTGGTCCTCTGTACAACATGACAATTTTCAAACGCTGCATGACAACTACAAAAGTAGGATTTATCTCCAATCTAACCGCAATTTTGATTATTTTCCGGTCTAAATAAAACAGGAGAAACAGAACTAAGATGCAGAAAATATGAAAATGAACAATTCATGTAAATTTTAAAATTCACGTTTGTTCAGGGGACTAGAAATGAGAAGAAAAAAATTTGTCACACATAACAAAAAACGTATGGGAAAAATTTCACTATTTTTCGTTTCGGTGACATAAATTAACTTTTTTTTCTTCTCGTTTTTGTTATTGTTGTTAATTTACGTCGCACTAGAGCTGCACAATGGGCTATTGGCGACGGTCTGGGAAACATCCTGGAGGATGATCTGAAGACATGCCACCACAATTTTGATCCTCTGCGGAGGGGGTGGCACCCCCGCTTCGGTAACCAGACGACCAGAGCGCGAAGTCGAGCACTTTACGGTAGCACAGTTTAACGAGGACCAATACCGCACACCCTCGGTCCCTACGCAGACTGATCCAAGTGGTCACCCACCCGCACACTGACCGTAGCCAGTGATGCTTGACTTCGGTGATCTGATGGGAACCGTGTCTTAACGATCAGTTCACTGCGGGACTTTTTCTCGTTTTTAATACCTTATTCAAATAGTGTTTCTTTTTTTTTTTTTAAGCATATTAATTTCCATATGACTCTTTTGAAAAATACATATGAGTGTTCTCATCGCTAATTTTATTCGTTTTAATAAATTTGCATTTTTTGGCAACTCAAAACAAATCAATAAAAATAAAAATAAAGTTATTTCAACACTAGGGCGAAAAATAATTTCGTAATTTTTTTTTTAATTAAACGGTATTGAGAATAAAATGAGATGCTTATAAACAACTCCCTTGATAATAGTCCGAAAGTCCCTACTTTCGGACTATTATCGAAGGGAGTTGTTTATAAGCATCTCATTTTATTCTCAATACCGGAATAGCCTGGTCGGTAGAGCGCTGGGCCCGAGAGGTCGTGGGTTCGATCTGGCCGAAGACTCCCCGTGTAGTAAATGGTGACTGATGCACGTTAAATCTGTCGAGTCACAAAGTCCTCCATGTTCCCATAACAAATCATTTCCTCTGGGGGTACTGATCCAGGAGTTTTTCTTGTCTTCTGGATTGGGTTCAAAATTACAAGGTTACGGAGTTAAACATTAGTAGTTGTAAACTCATAAAATTGGGTCGGCTGTTCAACGACGGTTATAAAATAAAATAAAATAGTCCGAAAATCAATTTGTTCGTTATATCGTAATTATTTGAGTAATTATTTTATTATTGCAAAAAAATGTTAATTTAATTAAAGCTAAGCCCATTGTGCAGCTCTAGTGCGACGTAAATTAACAACAACAACAATCAATTAAAGCTAATCATTATTACAAAATATAAGTTGTTGTTGTTAATTTGCGTCGCACTAAAGCTGCGCGATGGGCTATTGGCGGCGGTCTGGCAAACACCCCTGAGGATGATCCGAAGACATGTCATCACAATTTTGATCCTCTGCAGAGGGGATGGCACCCCCGCTTCGGTAGTCCGATGACCTGCACGCGAAGTCAAACACTTTACGGTAGAACAGTTTAACGAGGATCAATACCGCACACCCTCGGTCCCTATGCAGACTGATCCAATTGGTCACCCACCCGCCCACTGACCGTAGTCAGTGATGCTTGACTTCGGTAATCTGCTGGGAACCGTGTCTTAATGATCAGTCCACTGCGGGACACAAAATATAAGTAATTAATTAAGTACGTAACTAATTTATGTTAATTGCTTATATACATTTTCCATTGTCGATACTGGGAAAAAGTAGTTTGTTAGTTATTTATTGAAATTTTAAATTCAAATTATTTTTATCTCTTGTGTTAATTTACTGTTGTAGTAGCTCCTGAACTAACAAATATTCGAGTTCAGTGATTGCCAGATCATATATTGGATCGTGTATAATATAGATCTGTCGAGAATTTGATCAAAAAATTTGAACATAGCACTATTTAGAGCGAAATTTTTTATCTGGGCATTTCCGAATAACTAATACTCTGTTTAACCGAAAATAATTTATCTATTCTCAAATGGAAACTTTGTGAAAAACATGGCCGTCACTGGGTTTAATTTTGGACAGGGACGTAATTAATTTACACAGTGACAATAGTTCTAAATTTCAGGCATAAGAAAAAAAGTCATAATAAATATCAGCAAAAAGATTATTTTTTCCGTTTCTTGCTTCAAACTTTAAGAAATTTAAATCGATAGTAATTCTTGAAAAATTTTCTTTATTTATTTGAAATATTCTTTTATTTAGGCTTTTAGAGATTCGTAATTATTGAGGGGGACTAATACCTACCCCGCCAACGACAAGCATGAGTTGTTAATATTGCATTTATGTAATAATTACTGTTATGTATAATTTTTATCAAAGACATTTAGCTGCCGTTTTTTAGATTTTCACTGTTTATTCCATTAATGTCCAACTACAAAAACTGAAATGATGGAAAAAATGCGTTTAAGAAAAAAGTGGCAGAGAAAGAAATTTACCAGGAAAAAAATCTTGCTGACAAAAGCATGAATAAATAAAAATTGAATGAGAAATTAAAAATAAAAGAACGAGACATTTTATGGAAGATTTTTACAAAAAAATGTACCGTCCTTCAGAGCACAAACGAGTCAATTTATAGTGTTTTTTTCTTCTTCAATTTAAACTTTTGAGTTCTTCTTTATGAATTCGGAACAATTTTTAAATGTAATAAAAATTATGTTAAATAATTGCGCAGTACCTACGATGTTAAATATAATATATTTAATTTCCTTGCATTTATAAAACAAACATTTGCGAAATATTTAAACCTTATTTATAAATTTCTCAGCTTAAAAACCAAGAATATTAAATTGAAGCTGTCAATCTTTTAGTTGTTCAACTTTGAATTAAATTTTTTTAAACTAAATTTAAAAGTGTCTTCATATTTCATCTTCAAAATTCTGTCCATGTAGTTTTTCTAGTAAAAATTTGAAGAGGGAAAAGGTTGATAACTAAGTCCTATATTTCACGCGACGATAAATGATATAATACTGACGATGAAGGATGACGCAACTCCAAGGAGAAAATTTCAACAAAAAAGCGATAATGCTTAAATTCTGGGTACCATGTTCTCCCGCCTAAACCGTTCTTCGCCAATGACGGCTATGCGCGCGCAGGAATAAGCCAGCAATCTAGTTACATGAAGGTTTTTGGCGAAAACAAATAGTGTTAGGAATTTTTTAATCGCCAACGCATGCTTATTGAGTTTTCAAACAAACGTTTTCAACTTTTGAGTTTAATCCGTCGTCTTGTGACCAATACAATTCTCTTGATATTTTACGAACCTAGAGTGACTTAAAACCTTTTCGATGCTAGAAGTCTTTGAGTTTTGGCATTGCTTCCAAGAATATTTGGCGATTATTTTGAGAGTGTTTTGTATATTGGCGTGTTTGAATGATATAACACATGGGTCGCAGCATGCTGTCTTATTTATTTTTGTTATACTTGGTGAATGTTTTATTGTCGGACGGAAGAAATATAACACTCGAGNTGGTGGAATGTTTTATTGCCGGACGGAAGAAATATAACACTCGAGTCAAGCCGGTCAACAAGTTCTGCTTGTGACCAAGTTTTTTTTTAGTCCATTTAATAATTTTTTAATCTGAAATTCTTAATCTTCTTGCTTTCCGGTCTTAAAATTTTATTTTTTAATTTTAATAAATCACTATTCATTCCCAGAAACTTCTTTGGAAAACACGGAATGGTATCTTTTTTTTCTTCCTTCTTTTGTTTACATTTATACACTTTAAAACTGCATTTGTTGTTTAATTCTGTCAAATAATATTTCTGTACGTTTCTATGTGTGTTTATTATATGTGTTTATTTCATTGCATTCCCAAGAATTCATTCAGCTCTGAGTTAGCAAAAATACTTCCATTTTATTGTTATTACTTTTTTAAAAATCAGTCAAAAATTCTTAATTTGTTTTCCAGTCTAAGTAATTTTTAGTTAGGAACCTTGTCTAACAGAAAAATTATAAAATTAAAAATTGTCAAGTGCATTACTTTACCCTTTAAAGATTTAAGTTCTCAAATGAAATATTTTTTGGTATTTATTTAAAATAAGTTTAAATTGTCAGAACTTGTTTCCAATAATGGATTGATATGGTTGTTAATTAGGTAATGTTTTGCTTATTTCTAAGCATGATATAACAAAAGATATCCTTACTGCATTTCTATAAGAACTCTGTAAGAAAATGGACGAAAATTAAAATGTTGAGCAGTATGTATTGAAAGAATAGCTAAAATTGAAACTAAATTTAATATAGTATCAAAAAGTGTTTTTTAAAAATCTAAACAGCATATTATTTCAGAGTTTTTTAGAGTATTCATACTTAACAATTGGTATGCTATTTGTGTGTTTTGATATGAGTCTATTCAATATATGTTTTAGTAGTGCTTATATTATATAAATTATTTAGTAATAAAAGGAAATTTTATTAGGTTATTTTAACAGTTCATTATGTTATTATGATTATAGGTTTTACTATATTGTAAACTAAACTCGGTGGTGCAATAGCCTAAGGACGACTAAGGCCTATTGTGCCCATCCCAATTTTTCTTGAGCTTTGGTGCAGGAACAGATGTTCGGGTTGGGTGGTCAGGCAAACAGGGAGCTACTAATGTTTAGTTCACTTAGTATTCATTTTGTGGACCTAGAATGTAAAGCCACAAAATGTAGATCAGAATTTTATGTTCAACTGATTCCTTTCATTGGACAATGACAATATTTAGTATGCGTCATTCAAATATTTATATTCTTACATTTTCTAATTAATTACTTACTTACCTCACTTCGCTGCTGACAAATTTATTTACAAAATACTGAGTACAAAAATCAAACTAAAGAGGTTGTATTGAAAGGACGAAATTCAAAAGTAATAATTTTAATATCAAGTCTGCTGAATGAATGGGAAGAGGGAAGTTGTTTTTGAGCTGAAACACTTTTGAAATGTCTGGCTCTGCAGTCTGTGTCTGTCTGGAGTTTGTCTACAGTATGAACTGCTGCTATGGAAATAAAAATAGCGCATTTCAGGGAGGGTAGCTTCTCTTCACTCTTCCGTGACCTAAACAATGACCTCACACTCCTATTTGAAATAGTTATACCTCGTCACCATAGTGACCGCAACAGTTCAGGCGAATGGCTAGGGGAGTTCTTAATTTCGACAAACTATACATAATACAGTGTTTGGAGTTTACTGTCATGGGGTAAAAGAGCATAATTTTGTGACAAAATATACATATAGATGTTATCCCATATTTAAATGTATTTTAGTCTTTTTCTAAGCATATTTAAATGAATAACAGTTAATTGATATTGCAGGCTCTTTTTCATCAATTTATTGTGTTGGTACTTTTAACAACAATTAAAGAATCTCTAAGCCAACTGAGGCAAAACAAAGATGAATTGTTGAACTGGTGTTTGAATGGCTAAAATCACAAAAGAATACCAGGAAAAGAATACTCATTACATGACGAAGTACAATATTTCCTTCCATTTTCATTATTTTTTATAATTTGAATAAAATATGTTTTGGCTTCTACAAAAGTTTTAATAATGCAAACCTTTTATTTCCTCATTTTTTTTTCTTTTAAAATGACAGAACACCTGCCTTTTTTAATGAAATTGAGACTGGCAAGACACAAATTCTGCCTTTTTTGTTCACAACTCTTTTTTGAAACGGATTCTGGGTTCGTTAGAGATTTATATACAAGATTATTTAAAGAATTTCATTACATTAATTATAAATAATTTTGTATTATTTCTAAATTCGCACACTAAATGTAGCCAGGTTTTATATATATATATATATATATTATGACAAAATTCCATTTTTATTAATTTGAACTGTTTGTCTATGTTGTGATGTAGTTGATCATTTGTCACCATTATTTTATAGGAAGAATATTTTATTTATGCTCTAGCTAGTATCATGTAGAAATGGAGGTGAATATGGCATTGACCCCATACATCTCTGAATGAGCATACCTTTTTTTCAATGGATTTCAATTTCTGACACCGAAAATATAAGGGTATAGGGGCTGTGATCAATATGGTCCTAATAGTTTACGAGGGGTAGTTATTTTTTACGCATTTTGCCATATTTCGCAAAATTTTTGAGCGAATTGAAAAATTTTGCACACGAGAGAACTCTAGGCAAAAAAAAAAAAAATTTTAGTAAATATTTATTATTTACCTAATTGTTGAAAAATTTTTGAATATGAAATTTTTTACATTAAGTATCTAATTTCATATGACAAAATTGAAGCAAAATCTTTTGGATAGTTCTTGAGTCATCGAGTTTTAAATATCTGATTTTATTTTACGACTTTATAATTGTGTGCAAAGACTTTTCAACTTGTTAAAAAAGTTACGGCTAACTCTGCAAAAAGTAAAATTAACATTAGGCGGTCAAAGCTTTGGATCGCACTCCATACCAAATGATTAGGACCCTATTTCCCAGATTGCCCCTATATTTTCAGGGGCAGAAATCTGAATCCATTGAAAAAAAGGTATGTTTATTCAGAGAAAGTATGTTTTTATGCCTGATTTTGTAGCTTAAAATATCATATAATTAAAACTAAATAATTATCATATTTGATGTCTCCTCGAACCAATAAGATCACGTTCAGAACATGAAGATCTGATCATTTGATCAAAAGTTATTTAGGGTCGTACTTCTATTTGGCGCAGTGTACATTTATATTAGAAAGCTTTTCCAGTGTGGGTGGTTGATAGTCTGAATACTTAGGGCTATTATCTTCCTTAAAGTTACACACAGAAGAATCAATCGGACTATATTTAACTTCTACCTCTTTAAAATCACTACCTAGAAGTCATTTTGTTTGTATGTAGTGTGTATGATAATGTCATGCAATCATGCTTAAAAATAATTCTTTTTTATTACCTTTCATATAAAAAAATATTTTAAAAACATTGGTAGTTTTTTTTAGTACTTTTTTTTTTTGAACTCTACTTTTAGTAATGATTTAACTATTAAGTGATTAAAGTCATGATATAAATAAATCATTTTATCAATTTTTAGTTTCAAACCTTGACCCTGTTCTTCGTACATGCTGAAAAAATAAACAGTCAATTAATTAGAGCTGAAAAGCATTACTAAGTTATACACAAGACTAAAAGGTATTCACCAACATAATCAGTAAAGCTAACAAAAAAATAACTTATTTTTTTTACTTCAATTAATATCTATTTAGTTTATAACAAATTTGATTCAGAGACAGTAACAGTTTGGTGATTTTTTACGGTTCCCCTCAAAGAATAATTATGTTTTCTTCATTATTTTTGGCTTAAATTACTCCTTTCATCCACTGTCCAAATTTCAGGACACTAGCATAAATGGTTCTGGAGTTAGATACTAACTCTTCATTTTATTATTTTTGGATATTTTAATTCAAATAGATTAGTTATTAGTCTGAATTTAAGTAACTTAAATGTTGAATTGACTTTATAAACTCCCTTACACTAGGCCTAAACTGTAATATTTGTTGTTTCCTTATTGTAGCCCTTGGAAAGATCATGCCTGCTGTACAGAAACTGTCACTCAAGATATTCATGAATTGAAGTTGTATAATTTTAGTTATGATCATTGCTTCAGCCAAGTGAAGAGAAATATGTCTCTTCCATGCAAGAAACACTTCATACAAGACAATTGTTTTTATGAATGCGAGCCACACATTGGATTATGGGTCGTAAATGTATGTTAAGTGAATTTTTTTTATTTGTTTTACAATTTTGGTTATTATATATTTTGTTAGGATATAGGATAGCTAAGCTATTTTACTGTACCCAGGTATTTATATTTTATCCTTCCAAAGATATGGGATTCTTTTTTAAAAAAAAAGTTAACTTGAATGTTTTTTATTTTCTACTGAATTTGAAACTTGAAATTGAATTCGAATATGATGAGCAGCAGCACAAATGCTGAGGTCCTTAGGGCTAGTAATTTAATTATTTGTTAGTACTGTGTTGCTAATTTTGAATGCTGTTTATAGGCTAATCCCAGCAAATGAGTTAAAAAAAAAAAAACCCAATAAAACAGAGTCAATAGTTCTTTTTTGTTAATTTTTCACACGGCTGTACGTTGAAGACTTAAAAGTATGATTAATTAATTTTTTTATACAAAATGCATTATGACATAAGATGTATGCCACGTCTTCTAATGTTATCTCTTGAGCCAGCCGTGGTGGTTTAGGGAATAGAGCTTTTGCCTTCCAATGAGGTGAACCGATCTCGAATCACAGCCATGATTAATTTATATGAATTCCGCACTCTGCTGGCACCGACCACAGTGCTGACGTCTGTATTAGAGCTCCCTTGCAGTCAGACTAACTGTAAAAGTGTCTTTGTGCTTTTCCTTTTCATTTAACACAGATGCAGGTTTGTTTCCTTAAAAAGTCCTCCACAAATTCAAATATCTCCCAATACATGATCCAGGAGTACATTTGTCTTCTGGTTTGGGTTCAAAATTGCTAGGCTATGGAGTTGAGCATTAGCAGTCGTAAACCCAAAAATTGGATCGACTGTTCAACGATGGTTATAAAATAAAAAGTTATTCCTGTTAGCATTGCATTATAAAATTTTTCTGTCTATACATATAAAGCATTTTATAAATTTGTGTTGCAAAACTTTAAATTATTATTATTTTTTACTTCAAGCAACTATTAAACAATTTTTATCTACTGATTCAAGCTTACTTCATGTAACAAAAATTACATGGTTATTAATTTATTTGACTTTGATTTAAATTATTGATTTCAATATTTTAATTTGTATGATAGATACTCTATCTAATACCATTAAGGATTTTCATTCTTGATTGAAGAAGCAAGAGTTTTCTCTAACAGTTCATTTTGTGAATAAAAAAACATTTTAAATTTATATACAAAAATATCAGATTGACATGTTTAGTAAATGTTTATTTTATATTTTTAATTTAAGTGTTTAAGTTACATCTTAATATTTTCAATTTATGTAAAGTATTCAACTGATATACAAAGTTGTTTATTTTTCAATTTTGTGTTTGTTAACTTAAACCAAAACATGCAAAATAAGACTTTTCATTTTTTAAAATTATAAACATGTTTATACTTTTTTTTAAAATTTTAATAAATTAAATGTTTGAAAATGTAAGGACAATACCAGTTTTATTTTCTACTTTGCTTTACAAATAGTTTCTTTTAAACAAAGAAACCTTATATTTTTAGTCTTTAAAGGTTTATTCATAAAAATATTCATTCTTTCAATTTAAAGATTTTATTTACAATTAAATGATTTAGAATGGTGAAATAATCCCTGTTTTATTTTTGTTTCTACATAGTTTCTTTTGGAATGGGAAAAAATATGATAAATTCTTAATTGATAAATAGATTTACAGTGATTTTTTTTTTTTTTTTTTAATGTTGCAAAAAGAATTCCGCTCTAAATTCTGTTAACGTTTACATATTTAATTCAACTGTTGCCAAATATTCTACGAATGTCGCTAAAATCATATGCATGGGCAGTATTGCTGCGTTGAAATATGTTTAAAAGTTACAAAATATTAACTGAAAATAGTTTTTTTTTCTTTGCATCAAAATCTATGCATTAAAAAAAATGTTGTGCTAATTTTAATCTACAGGTAAATTAGGTTTTACTTTTCAGATTTTCCAACTGGAATAACTCTTATTTTTAAACTTCTATTTTTCTGCTTATTGATCTATGTGACGATAACAATTTTAATGTATATACATATTTCTCATTTGTGGCACCATAAAATCTGGTATTTCTTTATCTCCTTAGTATAATTTTTATCAATGAGACAATTTTTTTTGCTCTAACGTGTTATATGTTTGAAAGTTACAAAATATTAACTGAAAATAGTTGTTTTTTCCTTGCATCAAAATCTGTGCATTAAAAGAAATGTTGTGCTAATTTTATTCTACAGGTAAATTAGGTTTTACTTTTCAGATTTTTCAAATGGAATAACGCTTATTTTTTTACTTCTATTTTTCAGCTTATTGATCTATGTGACGATAACAAATCTTATGTATATACATATTTCTCATATGTGGCACCATAAAATCTTGTATTTTTTCATGTACTTAGTATAATTTTTAACAATGAGACAATTTTTTTTTCTAACTTGTTATATGTTTGAAAGTTACAAAATAATAACTGAAAATAGTCTTTTTTTCCTTGCATCAAAAGAAATGTTGTGCTAATTTTATTCTACACGTAAGTTAGGTTTTACTTTTCAGATTTTTCAAATGGAATAACTCTTATTTTTAAACTTGTATTTTTCTGCTTATTGATCTATGTGAGGATAACAATTCTAATGTATATATATATTTCTCATATGTCGCACAATAAAATCTGGTATTTCTTCTTATATTTAGTATAATTTTTATCAATGAAACAATTTTTTTTGTTCTATGTTTGAAAGTTTCAAAATATTAACTGAAAATAGTTTTTGTTTCCTTGCATCAATGTCTATGCATTAAAAAATATGTGGTGCTAATTTTATTCTACAGGTAAAGTAGGTTTTACTTTTCAGATTTTTCAAATGGAATAACGCTTATTTTTTAACTTCTATTTTTCTGCTTATTGATCTATGTGACGATAACAATTCTTATGTATATACATATTTCTCATATGTGGCAACATAAAATCTGCCCCTGAGGGGGTTTACCTTCTTTAGGTAAACACAGGGAGTCACGCCCCATGGTACCCTAGTGATCTATCCTTAGTATAATTTTTATCAATGAGACAATTTTTTTTTGCTCTAACGTGTTATATGTTTGAAAGTTACAAAATATTAACTGAAAATAGTTTTTTTTCCTTGCATTAAAAAAAAATTGTGCTAATTTTATTCTACACNCCCGGGGTACCCTAGTGATCTACTTTTCAGATTTTTCAAATGGAATAACTCTTATTTTTAAACTTCTATTTTTCTGCTTATTGATCTATGTGAGGATAACAATTCTAATGTATATATATATTTCTCATATGACGCACAATAAAATCTGGTATTTCTTCTTATATTTAGTATAATTTTTATCAATGAAACAATTTTTTTTGTTCTAACGTGTTATATGTTTGAAAGTTTAAAAATATTAACTGAAAATAGTTTTTTTTCTTCCTTGCTTCAAAATCTATGCATTAAAAAAAATGTTGTGTTAATTTTATTCTACAGGTGAATTTGGTTTTACTTTTCAGATTTTTCAAATGTAATAACTCTTATTGTTAAACTTCTATTTTTCTGCTTATTGCTCTATGTGAGGATAACAATTATAATGTATATACATAATTCTCATATGTGAGTCCATAATATCTGCTATATTTCTTCATGTACTTTGTATAATTTTTATCAATAACAAAATTGTTTTTGCTCTAGCGTGTTATATGTTTGAAAGTTACAAAATATTAACTGAAAATAGTTTTTTTTTTCCTTGCATTAAAAAAAATTTAGTGCTAATTTTATTCTACAATTAAATTAGGTTTTACTTTTCATATTTTTCAAATGGAATAACTCTTATTTTTAAACTTCTATTTTTCTGCTTATTGATCTATGTGAGGATAACAATTCTAATGTATATACATATTTCTCATATGTGGCACCATAAAATCTGGTATTTCTTCATGTACTTAAAAAAAAAATTTTCTCATTGATAAAAATTATACTAACTTGTTTGAAAGTTTAAAAATATTAACTGAAAATAGTTTTTTTCCTTGCATCAAAATCTATGCATTTAAAAAAAAAATTTCTGCTAATTTTATTTTACAGGTTAATTAGGTTTTGCTTTTCAGATTTTTCAGATGGAGTAACTCTTATTTTTAAACTTCTATTTTTCTGCTTATTGATCTATGTGAGGATAACAATTCTAATGTATATACATATTTCTCATATGTGGCTCCATAAAGTCTGGTATTTCTTCATGTACTTAGTATAATTTTTATCAATGAGACAATTTTTTTTTGCTCTAATGTGTTATATGTTTGAAAGTTACTAAATATTAACTAAAAATTGTTTTTTTCTTCTTTGCATCAAAATCTATGCATTAAAAAAAGTTGTGCTAATATTATTCTACAGATAAATTAGGTTTTACTTTTCTGATTTTTCAAATGGAGGAACTCTTATTTTTAAACTTCTATTTTTTAATTATTGATATATGTGATAATAACAATTCTAATATATATACGTATTTTTCGTATGTGGCACCATAAAATCTGCCCCTGAGGGGGTTTACCTTCTTTAGGTAAACACAGGGAGTCACGCCCCGGGTACCCTAGTGATCTATCCTTAGTATATAAAATCTGGTATTTCTTCATGTACTTAGGAAAAAAAATTGTCTCATTGATAAAAATTATACTAACTTGTTATATGTTTGAAAGTTTAAAAATATCAACTGAAAATAGTTTTTTTTCCCTTGCATCAAAATCTATGCATTAAAAGAAATGTTGTGCTAATTTTATTCTACAGGTAAATTGGGCTTTACTTTTCATATTTTTCAAATGGAATAACTCTTATTTTTAAACTTTTATTTTTCTGCTTATTGATCTATGTGAGGATAACAATTCTAATGTATATACATATTTCTCATATGTGGCACCATAAAATCTGCCCCTGAGGGGGTTTACCTTCTTTAGGTAAACAGAGGGAGTCACGCCCCGGGGTACCCTATTGATCTATCCTTAGTATAATTTTTTTTCAATGAAGCAATTTTTTTTCGTTCTAACGTGTTATATGTTTGAAAGTTTCAAAATAGTAACAGAAAATAGTTTTTTTTTCCTTGCATCAAAATCGATGCATTAAAAAAGTATGCTAATTTTATTCTACAGGTGAATTAGGTTTTACTTTTCAGATTTTTCAAATGGATTAACTCTTATTTTCAAACTTCTATTTTTCTGCTTATTGATGTATGTAACGATAACAATTTTAATGTATATACATATTTCTCACATGTGGCACCATAAAATCTGGTATCTCTTCATGTTTTTAGTATAATTTTTATGAATGAGGCAATTTTTTTTGCTCTGACGTGTTATATGTTTGAAAGTTACAAAATATTAACTGAAAGTATTTTTTTTTTCCTTGCTTCAAAATCTATGCATTAAAAAAGAAATTGTGCTAATTTTATTCTACACGTAATTTATGCTTTACTTTTCAGATTTTTCAAATGGAATAACTCTTATTTTTAAACTTCTATTTTTCTGCTTATTGATCTATGTGACGATAACAATTCTAATGTATATACATATTTCTCACATGTGGCACCATAAAATCTGGTATTTCTTCATGTATGTGACGATAACAATTCTAATGTATATACATATTTCTCATATGTGGCGCCATAAAATCTGGTATTTCTTCATGTACTTAGTATAATTTTTATCAATGAGAATTTTTTTTTTTGCTCTAACGTGTTATATGTTTGAAAGTTACAAAGTATTAACTGAAAATAGTTTTTTTTCCTTGCATCAAAATAAAATTGTGCTAATTTTATTCTACAGGTAAATTAGGTTTTACTTTTCAGATTTTTCAAATGGAATAACGCTTATACATATATCTCCTATGTGACACCGTAAAATCTGGTATTTCTTCATGAACTTAGTATAATTTTTATGAATGAGCAATTTTTTTTGTTCTAACGTGTTATACGTTTGAAAGTTTCAAAACATTAATTGAAAATAGTTTTTTTTTCCTTGCATCAAAATCGATGCATTTAAAAAAATGTTGTTCTAATTTTATTCTACACGTAATTTATGCTTTACTTTTCAGATTTTTCAAATGGAATAACTCTTATACATATTTCTCCTATGTGACACCATAAAATCTGGTATTTCTTCATGTACTTAGTATAATTTTTATCAATGAGCCTTTTTTTTTTGTTCTAACGTGTTATACGTTTGAAAGTCTCAAAACATTAACTGAAAATAGTTTTTTTTTCCTTGCATCAAAATCGATGCATTAAAAAAAAAATTTGTGTTGTTCTAATTTTATTCTACAGGTAAATTAGGTTTTACTTTTCAGATTTTTCAAATGGAATAACTCTTATTTTTAAACTTCAATTTTTCTGCTTATTGATCTATGTCAGGATAACAATTCTATTGTATATACATATTTCTCATATGTGGCACCATAAAATCTGGTATTTCTTCATGTACTTAGAACAAATAAAATTGTCTCATTGATAAAAATTATACTAACGTGTTATATGTTTGAAAGTTACAAAATATTAACTGAAAATAGTTTTTTTTCCTTGCATCAAAATCTATGCATTAAAAAAATATTGGGCTAATTTTATTCTACAGGTAAATTAGGTTTTACTTTTCTAATTCCTTGCATCAAAATCTATACATTTAAAAAAATGTTGTGCTAATTTTATTCTACAGGTGAATTAGGTTTTACTTTTCAGATTTTTCAAATGGAATAACTCTTATTTTTAAACTTCTATTTTTCTGCTTATTGATCTATGTGAGGATACCAATTCTAAAGTATATACATATTTCTCATATGTGGCATCATAAAATCTGGTATTTCTTCATGTACTTAAAAAAAAATTTTTCTCATTGATAAAAATTATACTAACTTGTTATATGTTTGAAAGTTTCAAAATATTAACTGAAAATAGTTTTTTTTCCTTGCATCAAAATCTATGCATTGAAAAAATATTGGGCTAATTTTATTCTACAGGTAAATTAGGTTTTACTTTTCAGATTTTTCAAATGGAATAACTCTTATTTTCAAACTTTTATTTTTCTGCTTATTGATGTATGTAACGATAAAAATTTTAATGTATCTACATATTTCTCACATGTGGCACCATAAAATCTGGTATTTCTTCATGTACTTAGTATAATTTTTATCGCTGAGACAATTTTTTTTGCTTTAACGTGTTATATGTTTGAAAGTTGCAAAATATTAACTGAAAATAGTTTTTTCCCCTTGCGTCAAAATCTATGCATTAAAAAAAAATTTGTGCTAATTTTTTTCTACATGTAATTTAGGTTTTACGTTTTAGATTTTTCAAATGGAATCACTCTTATTTTTAAACTTCTATTTTTCTGCTTATTGCTCTATGTGATGATAACAATTCTAATGTATATACATATTTCTCATATGTGGCACCATAAAATCTGCCCCTGAGGGGGTTTACCTTCTTTAGGTAAACATAGGGTGTCACGCCCCGGGGTACCCTAGTGATCTATCCTTAGTATAATTTTTATCAATGAAACAATTTTTTTTATTCTAACGTGTTATATGTTTGAAAATTTCAAAATATTAACTGAAAATAGTTTTTTTTTTCCTTGCATCAAAATCTATGCATTAAAAAAAATTTTGTGCTAATTTTATTCTACAGGTAAATTAGGTCTTTTCAGAATTTTCAAATGGAATAACTCTTATTTTTAAACTTCTATTTATCTGCTTATTGATCTATGTGACGCTAACAATTCTAATGTATATAAATATTTCTCATATGTGGCACCGTAAAATCTGGTATTTCTTCATGTACTTAGTATAATTTTTATCAAATAGACAATTTTTTTGCTCTAACATGTTATATGTTTGAAAGTTACAAAATTTTAACTGAAAATAGTTTTTTTTCTTCCTTGCATCAAAATCTATGTGTTAAAAAAAATGTTGTGCTAATTTTATTCTACAGGTAAATTAGGTTTTACTTTTCAGATTTTTAAAATGGAATAAATCTTATTTTTAAACTTCTATTTTTCTGCTTATTGATCTATGTGACGATAACAATTCTAATGTATATAAATATTTCTCATATGTCGCACCATAAAATCTGGTATTTCTTCATGTACTTGGTATAATTTTTATCAACGAGACAATTTTTTTTCCTCTAACGTGTTATATGTTTGAAAGTTACAAAATATTAACTGAAAATAGTTTTTTTCCCTAGCATCAAAATCTATACATTAAAAAAATGTTGTGCTAATTTTATTCTACAGGTAAATTAGGTTTTACTTTGAAGTTTTTTCAAATGGAATAAATCTTATTTTTAAACTTCTATTTTTCTGCTTATTGATTTATGTGAGTATAACAATTCTAAGGTATATACATATTTCTCATATCTCTCTCTTCTTCAACTCATACCTTTTTGTGGATATAATCTAATGAGCTGATGAAGAGATTGTCTTTTTTTTTCCAAATTTTTATTTATTTAAAAAAAAAATTTTTTTACTAATCTTTTTTCATTTTTCTGTAATTTTTTCTTTGTTTTCTCTACATTTTAAACTTATTTTATGAGTTCTTTATGCTTGTAGCTTATGCATAGTAAATAAAACTTATTGAATTTCTTCGTTTTTTTCTTTTTGTATTTTTTATGCTATATATATACAAATTATGAAATGTTTAAACAGTGTTTAATCAATTTATATGACCCATCAAGGTGTAGCATTGTCATAGAAATGCATATGGGTTTAATAAGAATGATTTACCATTTGAGATTTTAAGCATCTTATTTATTGATATTTAGACAAACTGTTTATGAAACTTGATATTTTATACTTGTGTGAACTTTTAAAATTGTTTTCTTACCCCTTAAATAATTTGTTTTTTTTAGACCACTAGAAAAATTTCATCTGAAAGATATTTCAAAGTGCCTCTCTGTTCTAAAGATTGTGATGAATGGTTTAAAGATTGTAAGAATGATTATACTTGTGTCTATAATTGGCCCAGAGAATTTAAATTTCAGAAAGGTATGCACTTATCAAGTCTATTTTTTTTTCTTCCTTTTTACAACTTTTTAACTCAATGAAAGAAACAAAAATAAAATAAAATTATTGAGCTGCTGCCACAAGTACATAATTTATTAAATGAAAATCTTGGTCAATTAATTGAAAAATTATAATGGATGATTTCTATTTCAACCTCTTGTAATTTATTAATTTGTGTATTTATATTTTTGTATAATTTATGTATATATATATATATTTGATTAATTTGTTACTACATTTTTGTTAGTCTTTTAAATTTCTAAGCCTATAAATCTGCAAAAATTATATAATTGGGTTGAGCACTTAAAGCAAAAAATGCTGAAAATTGTGATGAATATTTCAGTGCATATTTTGTTATAAATTTCATTTTGTTGTGTGAGCATTTTTGTAATTAAGATTTTTTTTATATCAATAGAATGTTACAGCAGGACATTAATAATTGTCTGTCCTGTAGCATAACCTTCGACATAGATCTATTCCTGGGTCTAATTTTAATTCATATTGTTAAATTTGTAAATTAAAATTTTCAATTTATAAAGCGTGATTTGAAGTTTTGTGTTAATCCATGTAAAGGATCTCCCCCCCCCTTCGTACAATTGCTAGGGCATGTAAATAAGGCTTATTTTTATTTGTAAAATCTCAAAATTTGCTCTTGAGGGTACTTTTCCACTAACCTAGCTGTAAAATTATTGAACTGTTTAGAGTTTTTATAATCTTACTGTATTTGTGGTTTTAAGAATTTTCAGTACTCCAAAGTAATTTTTATCAAAAAAAGTAAATAAAGCACTCAATGTTTTCTTAATCATGAATTTTTTAAAAGGTACAAACTGGATGACCTTTATTTATCTAATGCATTTTATTAGTAAATGTAGTGACTAATAGTGTATTATTTAGATTAGTATTTGAAAAATTTGATTAATCTCTTTATTTTAGTTTTTTGACAGTTTAGACATTGGCGAACAATTGGAATTAACAATTCAATAATCACAAATATGTCAAATTGTTACTTTAAGGCCATTTGCCAATTTATTTTTGGACAATTATTTTGCCACTGTTTTTTCTTGAATGTTCCAGAAACTATTGTTTCAATTATTTAATTAAAGATATATTCAAATTACAAACATTGAATGCTAATATGTAATTTTTACTTTTCGAATCTTTACCAGGATTGGGATCTGATCTAATTATTAATGAGAATTTAGAAAATTAATTATTAAAAATTTAAGAGACCCTTTTCTAATTTAGTTATGTTATATGGTTTTATTTACCTACCAAATTCATCATAGATTATATCAAATTCACCATAGATCTTTACCAATTCAGCATAATCAATATTAATAATCAGCACTACAATTTATAAAAAAAACTTAAGTAAGTTCTTGATAATAACTCTGGAATGATTATTTTGTAGAGTCAAAATTGCACAGGTATGAAAAAGACTTTTGGAGAGGGATATCATAAAAGTAAAATTAAGAATACTTTTCAAAAAAGTTTTTTTTTTAAAGTTTTTCTTATAACTACTTTTTTTTTTACAAACACAATTCCTGTAGCAAGTCTTAAATGTGCACAATATTAAATATGTTTTGAGGTCTTACACATTAATTTTTCTTCAAATTTCTATAAATAATTTTTCTTTCTTCTTTTCCTTAAATTTCTTAAAAAAATAAAGTGTCCTTAATTTTTAAACATTTCAATTAATGTCCTGAAATTTTTTATGATTTTCCAAATTTTTAGTTGAAGTTAACGGGAAGAATAAATATTTATCAAAAAAAGAGTTGTAGAAATTTCAAATTCAAAAATTATGTTGTATGCCATGGAAGAAAATAAATAACAAAATGAACGACACAGTCTTTATAGCGTCATAAAGACGTTTTTAGTAATTCTATACAATACTATGAATTACAAAATAAAGACAAGAAACGAACACCGAATAAATTAATTGAATGAGTCACTTTTGGATTTCTAGGTCCATGTTAATGCATTTTAACCATTTAAGACATTTAACATGTAAGTAACAAGTCAATTGATATTATTTAAAATATGTTGCAACTCCAATTAATGCTTTGCAGTGCCCTTTAAAGAATTTTATTATGAAGATTAACAAAAACATTACACAGAGGATGTGTTTACATTGAATGATTTAGATTCTGTTTAAAGAAACCGGTGTAATTGCAAAAAGAAATGATTTAACAATCCTTTTTGAGCTTTATAATTCTATATAATATAAATAACACAAATCTGATTAAAAGAATTTATTACATGTAAAAAACGAAATAAGTTTTTTCTCAAGTTTTAATTTCTAGATTGGCTATAGAGATTATTGTAAGTCTTCAGCTAACTTTCTTTTTTCAAGCAAACAATTTTTCTATCATTAAAAATGAAATTTTATTTCAATCAACATAAATTTAAAATTACAAACTGAGCATGTTCATTCTTTTTCAAACAATTTCCATTTTTTGATAACAGTATACGTAAATAATTCTAGTAAAATGTGGGGTAAATTGATGACATAACTAGCTGTAGAAATAACATCTTCAAATCAAACTTTTTTTTTATTAATTTAAATTTTAAGAAAGACTAACTTAAAAGTTACCACATTAAAAAGAAAACAAGTAAATACAAAATAAAGTGCACAAGAAATACATATTAATCACATGGAAACAAAATTAATAAGTTTTTATTTCAATATGGTGTTTATAATATAGTGTTAAGAAAATTACCAATTCATTTAGAACAAGGTAACTTAACTTTCCCAATTTTGTCTTTATGTTCCAGAGACAACTTGAAAATAAAAGTATTAAGTATATAGTATTATTTAAGTATTTCAAAATCTGCAAAATGCTTATACAGGGACAATGTAAATTTGAGACACATAAAAGTTGTTGTGAATTTTCTTACAAATTATGAACTCAAAAGGTCAACCAAAAGGCAAAATTCTTTGAAAATAGTGTACTAATAGATTTTATTTTAAATTTTACTAAAATGTTAGGGGCTAGTTACAATTTCTTAGGCAACTCTCATCTTTACATAAACTTTGTACATTGCAGTGTTGTGTATCCAGAATCATCAAGATTTTAGCATGCCTAGATTATCCATTTTCTCTGATAATAGGCATTCAAGGTTGCACTCTGCAATAAAAAAAACCATAAGATCAATTTTTATTCAATCATGTCTTCTATCACGTTGGTAATTTTTTTTTTTAAAGATATATTAAGTTTTTTTTTTTTTTTTTTTTATTTGTTTTTTTATTAATTTTCATGATATATAACTATATTTTACAATTCATAAATATAATCATCGATGAAATATTATTATTGTAACAGAAATATTAAGTTAAATCATAACACAATTGAAACTATCTTTCTGCATTATAAATTACTTCAAAATCATTGAAACTGAAAATGTATCATTATTAAGTACTGAAAAGCAGGCTAAAATAATCAAATTAAGAAATTAATTACACAAATTAATTACAAATTAATTATTAAAATAAGTGTGATGCCTTAGACCTTTATAGCAAGTTGATATAACATTAGGATATATAATAGCGTAAATCACTAATTTAGTAAAAAAAATCACATAAGAATTATCTATATATATATATATTCATATTCAGAAATATTTGCAATGTTAAAATGAAATTTGGTTTTAAGGTAGTGTTTTAAAATTAATATTTATTAAAATAATCGAATTTTTATTATGTTTCGAAAAATATTATACTGCTTTTAACAGAAGTGTAAAAATCTCATTTCATCAAAATGTCATTCTGTTTTTTATTTGCATTCTGTAAAAAGATTTTGAGATTTTTAAAATGTCATTTCAAAAGTACTGTAATTTATTGCAAACTAATTCTAATAAAATATATTTTAAATCTTAATTCCTGATAAAGTTTAATTATGATTCCTCAAAATCTATCTTGTACTTTTTTGTTATGAGTACATATTTGTTTCATACATAACAACTTTGCTTCTCTTTAGATAACAGGAGTCATTATAATATCAGCATCAAATGTGGTATTTAAATTTATTTTTAGGTCACAATATATGTCCAGAAAATTCCCAGTGCTTGACATTTTCAGAAATGTATAAAATGGCAAAAGACTTTTGTGAGAATGTAAGTATAAAATTATTTAATTTTTAATCAAATCCTTGAAATTATTAAAATAAACTTGTTATGATAGTGTACTGATATTTAATATTTTCAGTGATTTTTCAATCGAATACTTGTGTAATGGTGAGGTTATTTGTAATAGTTTTAATATTGAAAACCATTGTTTTTCATGCGAGATGGCCAGAGCCGCCAACTCTACTTGATTTTCCAGTAGATTACTGGATTTTGCCAGTTTCTCCTGGTTTACTGTTTTAATTAAAATTCTCCTGCATTATAGAATGCATTATGGATTATAGAAAATTTCATTAAATTGAGTCATTTTCCTATAAAAAAAAATTCCATTTTAAAATAGAAATTTTGTGCAAATTATTGCTTGCCTGCTTGAATATTTTAATAAGTATATTACTTAATATTAGTTAATTATATTACATAATGAAGCTCATTTATAGAAATCAGTTCAAAACTTTTTTTGTTCTAAAATGGTCAGTTTATTTTTATTCAGAGCTCTCTTTAAATTAATTTTAAAAAAGATATTGTTACTATCCTTGATGAATTAAATGCCTATCAATATTCGAAATTATGAGTAAACATAATACATAACATTTCAAGTATATATTTAAAGTCTGTAATATATTGCAGTTTTTCTATTTTGATGGCTATAAAAATTCCTAAAATTTCCTATGTGTAAAAGATGTAGAACATTATGCAACTATTATCATGAAATTTATATTTCGTAAAATCTACCGGATTTGTTCCTATCCAAGTTGGCAGCTATTGGATGGCCAACGAAAGAGAAAAAATATTTCCTGCAACTCCAAACAATTAATCAGAACTTTGTGTGCAATCAACAAAAAATCTTTTGAAGCAATGGATCTTTATAATGTCAAGCTTTGAAAATCCTGCATTGCAATTTGTGTTCATATACAAAACCTGATCACGAAACATGATACCCCAAGCTCACGGACCTGCTGGTTTTATATGTAATTATAATTAAAAATTCCTGCTTTAATCATCTTCCAACTTTTAAACAAAAACTTCGTAATCATTCCAAAGTTTATATGTTGTAAAATAAACACATTGCCAAAGAAAAAGAATGTAGTTAACAGCTATCCCAAGTTGATTTAAGAAAAAAATACACCTAAAACCTTAAGGTAAATTTAAGATAACAATGGTAGCAGGGGTTAATTATGTTCCTGTTCATGTGTATTACTATTTTTGTTACCATAATCTGACTGTTAAAGTTTCCTTACAAAATTTGGATAATACTTGAGGAAATAAAATTGACCAAATTGTTTTAGATTTTGTAAAACGTATAAATGACCTCAAGCCTGAGTAACTGTTTTTCTTAACTATTATTAACATCGATTTCTTATGTTAAGCAAATAAAAAAAAATAGGATCTATTGAGGGATATAAAAACATTGAAAGTGTTCAAGGGAAAAAATAAAACACTGCTCGCTTTTTTTTGTGACAATATTTAAAGAAATATAAAATTTATTTATTTAAATTTTTATAATTTTAATTATCTTGATAGCATAAGTTTTAAAGTTTTTTCCTATTCTATTATGTCACTTTAATCACTCATGTGAGAACTGAAAATTGAAATTTTAAATGCATTTTACTTAAAACCAATTTTTTTGACGATTGCCTAGTTATAAAAATGTTCACCATTCTAGTCCATAAATCCATATTATATCATATGGACCGCAGATATATTTAAATTGTTTTTCTATTTTTTCTTTCTTTTACCTGCAAAAAGAAAAAAAAGTCAATTATATACTTTTCATTCAAAATAGAACACAATTTAAAAACTCCTGTTAGTCTCATTGCTTTGATTCATTTTCCAAGCCAGTAGCCACCTCATTAATTTTATGCATTATTTTCCAGCTTGAGCTTGTTGACTTTTATTTATTTATAATATTATTTATTTATATATTATCATATTGTGTTTCATGTCATATCCCAACAACACTTTGAATAAAATTATTCCGAAAATTCCAAAGAGTATTGTCAATGCAAACCTCACTCTTAAGAGATGTTATTTGTGAAAAATTCATTTTTTACTTTAAAAGTGAACCATAATGACACTGAGGTTGCTCAAGCATGATTAGTAAACATTAAAGCTTAGTGAAGAAAAGTATTTCTTCTTATTTGGAATCACATGGCAATTTCTTCTTCAATTATTTCTTTTGATGTATGATTTATTACTATATATATAGGTATATTATATGTTAATTTTTGATAAAGAGTCTAAAAATACATATTAAAAGCAGTCTTTACAGAAAACCCTGTATTATAGAATACTGCTTAAGAATGTATATTACACTAACATACAGAATTAAATTACCAGAAAATGCATAGAAATTGATTGCAAGTTCTTGTTATGAAAATATATATGTACTATAAAGAGTAATTTTTATCTTAGGATAATTATTCTTTATTTGGAAATATCGCATTTACCGTCGTAAAGGAATGCGTCCTGAAGAAAACCTTTATGTATTCCCATTTAAAAAATTTTCTATTTCATTTTATTTTATAATTCTTTGTGTTTATAATGTTAGGTGCAAAAGTTGATTCTACTGTTGAACGAATAATTTTATTAGCAAACATATTTTGTATTTGTTTCATTCATTTTTATAGCATAGAAAGATACTGGTCCCGGGGTGATTGTGCTCCGGAAAAAATCCGTAGAATAATAACTGTGATTAGAGATAAAAGTAAACTTACACATAATTATTCATTTAAATTATGCTGCATATAATTCATTTAGAATATCATGTTTTGAAAATTTCAATGATTTAAATTTATGAAGATATAAATTTTTTGAATGATTTTACTCAAGAAATGTTCCGGATTTTTGAATTGAACCCACAATCACCCCTGCTGGTCTAGCTGTTTCTCATTGTTGACATTGCATTCTTATTGATTAGAATATCATATCATACTATTCTTAATTCATAAATATATACAGTTTATTCGACAATTTATCAGCTTAAAATTAATAGAAGTTATATTTTATTTTTATCTCTTATTTGAAGTTATTTTTATTCTAGTCTATTTTGATTATAGAGATAGTATAGTGGTTTATATTTTCAACTATTTGAATTTTGATTAGCGCTTTTTAAGTCTTAGGTCTTTAAACTAAAAGTGGTGTACCTTTTTTACATTTTAAAGTAATCTCATGATGCTATTTTATCTTGATAAATTTTTTTTTAAACATATAATAGCTTTCGATTTACAATTATTGAAAGTTAAATGAGTTATATTTACTTTATAATACATTTTAATTTAGGCTGCACTCAGTCAACGTATGCAAATAAAATAATAAACTCTATATGATTTTAAAATAGTAAAAGAATATTAGAGAATAACTTTTTCCACTATTTCTGCATAATCTCTTTACTAAAAAAATTCGTGAAATGTTTTCACCAATCTGACATTAAATCTAAATTCAAAAGTTACAAAATTATGTGGATAAAGTTTCAATTGTAATTAAGCAAAATTATTAGGGTTTAAATTATATTAAAATAGTATTGGAATCTAAATCTGTGGGAATTTTTTTTTCTTTGCAAAATTTCCAGAGAAACTTAATAGAGCAAGCACTGTCGTTTGGCAAGGTTGATGTTGGAAAAAAAGCCTGCTTTATATTCTTAAAGAAAAAAATCTTGCCATGAAAAGAAAAAAAATTTTTCTCTTGGTGGCAGAATTTCATGACTTTTTTTTTTATAAAAAAATGACGAAGCAAGATAAATAGTGAAAAAAACTATGTAACCTGCATCGCTAATATCAAAAACATTTAGTTCATGAGTGGAAAGTTCATTTTTTATGATATTTTTAAAACAGAAAAAGACTGAATTTTTGTTTTGAAGAATAAAAATTTGTGTAGGATGTGTATTTTAAATGTGGATTAATAAATTAATATTTTTAAAAAATTCTTTTCTGCTTTACTATTGCACTTAATCATATTTTTAATTAAATCATTAGTGACTCTACTAGCTATGAACCAGATCGCCTAGCCGTTTAAAGCTAACAATTGTTTTTTTCTAAAAGCTTAAACTTAGTCAAAGCTGTATATAAATTACTGCAATTTGCCATATTTAATGAGACAAGTAGTGTGATCTATGAGATTTATTATTAAATACAACTCATCTGCAATCAAACGTTTTAAAATTCAATTTTAAAAAAAATGGGAAAGAAAGTCATAACTTTCCAAAGACATTCTCCCAAATCTTGAAAATGTTTCCCTTGGAGTAAAACTGATCCTGAAACCTCATTAAAAACTGGCTTTGATGTGTACCCTTAAGTATAAATTATTTTTGGATGAAAAAGAAATATTAAGTTACAATAGATTTTGTTATGGAAATTAAAGATTTGATAGTGTGGTGTATCTACCACTACAAAAATATAATTCCAATTCACTAGTATATAAGATTTGTTAATTCGATCCTTTGGTGGGGTACCTTCTCATAGATGAAGGTCGATTGTCGATAGCTACTCTCCCCACATTGGGGACCCGGACCCCATGAGAAAATGCCCACCTTGACAGAAACTCCCACTTCGATTTACCCTAACAGAAATTCTTACTTCGATGGATGGTTCACATTGAACAGTTGACTTGCTACTTGTGACTGCGACATTGTCCTCACACTGTTGCTTCTAAAGTTTGGTCTTCTTAATNATATTTTGGTGCAACTGTATTTTATTTTGATGGCATGTTTAAATACAATTAAATTATAATTAATAAATTAAAATAATCTAAAATGTAAGCAATCAACATCCCCCCCAGTGGGCCGCGGTAAAATTATTAAACGTTGACAGGTCCGCGGTGATAAAAAGGTTGGGGAACACTGCTGTAGTGTATCTACCACTACAAAAATACAATTCCAATTCACTAGTTTATAAGGCATGTTAACTCGATTCTATAGTGGGCTACCTTTTCATAGATGAAGGTAGACATGGTCGATATCTACTCTTCCTGCAGATAGTTTCAGTTGTTTAATCTAATATGCTAACTTAGTTTATTTGAGGAAAATGTATTTTTTATGTAGTTTATTTTAATTTTATTTTCTTATTATGGTTATTATACTTTTTATTTACCTATTACATATTATAGTATTTTTATTGCTTAGGTTTGGGATCATTCTTGGAAATATACAGAAAGTGAATTTTGCATGCATATTTGGTTTGATGGAGTGGCTGATGTTAACAAAAAAGTAGCCGAACATTATATCGATCTTGCCCTCTCTCCTAGCACTGCCAGTACTTCATCTACCTCCTGGTACTTTTTTGTATTGATTGTAGTATTAGCACAAATAATGGGTCACTGAAGTACAATATTTAAATTAGGATATCTATTAATGTTGTTCCTGTTTATCTATTTTGGATATTTAGTTTTTGAAAATAAATATATATTTTATGAATTGTGATGATTTATTCTGAAACATTCTCCTTGCAAATACATTAATTCTGCTCTGTAAAAGTGTTAACGTATTATTTTCTAATTATTAAAGAAAGTCAAACAGGATAACGAGAACCAGTTGCTATGAAACTCTTTGGTAGAGAAAGCCAGGGCCCAACAAAGGCAAGAGAAAAGTAAATGTTAAAAACAGAGCTTAATACGTAATAATCTATAAAGCTAAAGTTCATTTATATTGACTATGTATTTATGTTTATATGCAGCAAAATGCAATCCCTAGGATCTCCTAGAAGTACCTAAAAACTTCCCTCTATCAGATGCAGAGTTCGAATCTAGTCCTGTCAATCACTCTTTAGATTTTAATATCACTTCTCGTAAATTCCTTGCTAAATTTGTTAGATTTGTTTTTCATGCATAAAAATAAAAAGTCATTTCTCTAGGTTGCCACTCTACAGGGAAAACTTAGAAAATACAGGGAATTTTATTTCTTATATTCGTCTTTTAAAAGTGGTGACTACTCGAAATACAATTAATGAGATTTCAGCTTTATTAGACTATTTAATTTTCTACATTATTTGTTTTAAGTATGCTAAGCCTTATTTCTTTTAATTTTTTCAGCAATTAAAACTAGTATAGTTATCAGAGATGATTGTGCTCTGGAAGAAATCCGGATTTGTCGCTAACCACGATCCAAAAGTTTTAAGGAATCACTGATCACATTTATGCCTAAAAATTCTTTTATATTTTATTTAAAAATATTAGAACTAGATTTTCTACTTCGCATCGCTTTCATTTGTAAATATTTTTTTCAGATAGAATAATAAATGTAATTAGAGATATAAGTAAACTTATACATAATTATTCATTTAAACTATGCGGAAAAATATCAATGAGTTGAATTTATAAAAACATTAATTTTTTGAAATGTGTCATTAATGACTTTAGTCAAGAAATTTTCAGGATTTTCGAGTTAGGCTCACAAGCACCCATAAGTTACCCTAGTATAGCTCACTCAAGAGTACAGTGAATGTATGTTTCCTCATAATATATTGTGTATAACATGTGCGTGGAATTTTTTTCCATCCAGATTTGAGTGGCAACCGTGTTTTGGTGAGTACAAAGAGAATGAAAATTATGTACTCTTCATGAACTCAGGATATAATTTGTTATAGCACGACCCATAACTAAAGATGGTTGCAAAAAAAATTATTTTGCACCTCCGAATAAATTGCAAAAAGTGAGCTCTACTTGGAGTGGAGCTCATACATCTCAACTTGTCACATTTTTACGGGAAATTTTTCTTACCGGTTTAAAGTGGTAATAAGTTGTATGGTGCTTCCACACCAAAAATAATAATAATATTTTAGACTTACCAATTTCCGAAGCTCAATTGACCCTTGTGTCCACTGAGATGATCTCACTACCTCTAGCCATGTTTTCGTCTTCTACCATTGATCCTCTTTCTTCAAGCTAACATTCACCGATATTACACAGATAACATTATCATTTATCCCGAACGAACTGCCATCTTCTGTTTCCAACTTAACTTAACTGCCAACTTAAATTTTCATCCCCCAGGGGAACACTGTTGTGTGACGGGTATGGCGCACCCGGGGACCCCAACTAGACTTCAGTATTTTTCTGCTTCTCTCTTGAAATTATCCTGTTTTAAGTTTTACACCTGAAACCAAATTAATATTTTAATCTAGTGTGCGAATGTCGACTCGTTTCCTTTTAAACACCGATTATAATTTACACATTTCAGATTTCTGTTTAATTTTTTTTCCTTTGTCGGGTTTTTAGGATTTGTTACTTTGCTGCACATCTTTATTTAAAAAATTTTTTTTTCTCTGAATCGAACAGACTAACAACGTTAGCTATTGCTGAACAGCATATTTGCAGTGTGCCGCGTTTCATCATGGAGTTACCAGTTTGCATTCTTACACAAGTGTGGCGGGCTTATTTCGCGGTGTCTGTTGGTCGCGTGCTCTTTGGGCCGTGTAGATGAGCGATAGATCCCCCTCTATCACTCTGATCGAACAAGTTGCTCGGGATTAGCTCTGTATCAAGGTAATGATCCTGAGTTCTGATTGTTTTGGAGGATCCACACTCCTCTGGTGTAGTACTATATTGGACACTACTCTTGGCCTAGGTGTTCAGAGCCAGTGGTTCGGCGCCCCTTGCTGAACTACTGTTTGTCTACGATAGGTACTCTGACAGACATTCGTCTGGAGGGGTGGCGGTGACTATGGTAACGAGGTATGATTATTTCAAGTAGGGGTGCGGGTCCCTCTTTAAGACTGGTTTTAGCGAGAGAAAATTAGACCATGAGACCTCTTTCTTCGGTCCATTGTGTTAGCTCTAGAGCAAAGAGAGAAAAGTATTCGCACCTGTAACATCGTTTAGATCGTTCGATTTTCTCTTTTTTAAAAGAGTCAAAATTTTAATAGCGGTAAGCACCCAAAATTTGATATCATAATTTTTACATTTTTTGTTTTTTAAAAAGTATATATTATACAAAACAATAGCCCAAAGCAATTTTTTTTTAATTTAATTTATTTTTCAAGATATTAACAATTAAATTTCAAAGCTCTTTTTGATTAAAAAATAAATATCTAAGGATAGAATGAATGGATTTTAAAAAAAATTTATCTCATTTTACGCGGAAATAATGGAAGTTGTTGATAAAATAATTATAATAAAACAAATGCTTAAAAAATTTAATTTTTATTGCAAAATTAAGTTGTAAAATGAAAAACAAAAATGTCGTTAATGTCGTACAAAGTTCGAACAAAACCCATTTTAAAGTAAATTTTATTCTGAACAAAATAGCTTTTCAAAAAAAATGGATCGTAATTCCATAAAAAGTTATAGCTTTTTTCGCGAAACGCTGCACCGCGGCGCGCTCTGCCACTCCACTCCGCTGATCACTTAATCGCGCTGTATCAGTTGATTTGAAGGGAGTTTAAAAATCTCAACTAATATTATGAATAATAACTAGGTGAATAATATTATGAATAATTAGTTATTTATAATTTATTTGCATAATTTTTTGAGTTCAAACTTGGAACTGGAAGAATATATTTTATTTATAACTATTTTATCAAGAACTTCCGCGTAAAATGAGATACAATTTTTTAAAATCCATTTATTTTATCCTTAGATATTTATTTCTTAATTAAAAAGTGCTTTAAAATTTAATTGTTAACACCTTGTAAAATAAATTAAATTAAAAAAATCGTTTTGGGCTATTGTTTTGTTTAATATATACTTTTCAAAAAATGTAAAAATTTGGATATTAAATTTTGGGTGTAACAGCTAATTAAAATTTTAACAAATTAAAATTTTTATTTCAAAGCAAGCTTAATGTTTTATTAATTAATAACTCATCTATAAATTTATCATGCATAGTAAATTGGTTATTAAGAAAGAAAAAAAATTTGCTAATGAAAAACTGTTCGAATTTTTTTTTAATAAATAGTGAGAAAAACTATACAGGTTACATTAAAATACAAGTAAGAAAACGTAATTTAAGCAACAAAAAAACTTAGATAATTTCAGATGGTTTGATGGGTGCTGATAAAAATCATCGTTGATAGTTTTAGATTTCATCCTATTTGCGGTAACTTGCCTTCAGTTTAAAAAAAAATTAAAAAATAAATAAAAACAAAGACATTTAATATTTTTTCGGCACAGGTAACGTGAACTATTTCCATTTTCAACAAAAGTTTTATCTCCTTTTAAAATCTGTTAATAAGTTTAAGCACTTCACTTTTTCCAGAAAACTCAAATAATAAAAGAAATTAACCGCTTTAAAAAATGTGGAAGTTTAGAAATTAAACCATCTAACAATCAATGAACATTCATAATAAATATCGTAAAATTAAAAAAAAAAAACATGTACTGCCCTTAATGTCAGAATTAGTTCACTTTTTTTCCTTCGTATTTAAAAAATAACAACCGATTGAGTAAAGAGAATCATTTCAAGTAAGAAAGAAATATCCATGCGAATCTTAAAAAAATTATTGAATCAGATTAAATAAGTCTCCTACTGATGGCTGAGTCTGCCAATCTGGTATACTTCCCATACAAGCTATCATCGAAGCTACCCTCCCTAAAATGCCCTCTTCTTGTTTCCATATGTAATGTGGTGGGCTTGAGAGTGTTCAGGCGAACATCGTGCATTGCCATTGTTACAAAAGGTTTTTCAGTCTCGACATATTTTCACATAAAATTTATGTCTTAAATATAATGCTGTAAATTCTAGATTTTTAATACTTGCATCACTTGAAAAGAAAATTTCCGGCATGTACCATTTATAGTACCCAAAATGTATCGAATCTCAAATAAGAAATTCGTAAAATGTACCACGGTTGTCGTCTAGCGAAACGATTTCTAATAAACAAGCTATCTCCCTATTGAAATAATAGATAATATTCCTAGTATTATAACTACTCTGCACAGTACTCTAATTGAGCCGTGGAGGTTTAGTCGATTTCCAATGAGGTGAACCGGGTTGGAATCCCAGCGATGGCTGATCAATGCGAATTCCGCATCGATCACAGTGCTGACGCAAAATATCCTCGGTGGTAGCCGATCATGGGTTAGCTATATGCTTCAAGTGTCAGAAATTCAGTCTCTCAGCCAACAACTACAGAGGAAAAGAAACATGTTCGCGTTATAATCAACCTAATACAATTAGAACTTGTACTCCCCTGAAAAATGTATAAACTGTAACGAAACACATTCTGCTAATTCTCGTCAGTGTTTGAAATGGAAACAAGAATTGCTTGAAATGATCTGATTGGTCAACTTCCGCAACCTTTTGTAATAGGAGATTTCAATGGCCATTGCCTTATTTGGGGAAGCCCTGCCTCCAATACTAGAGGTTTTTCAATTGAAAAATTAATTGATGACCGTCTCCTAAGTATTCTTAATACAGGAGAAAGCACCCATTTTCACGCTCCATCGCGATCATTTTATGCCATCAATTTAGCTGTATGCAATGTATCTCAGTATGCATATTGGTGATGCTATCAAGTATCTATGCTGTCGCGAATTAGATTCACATCCTGCATACATAGTGATTAAAATATAATTATTGGCCACTTAGACAGGCATGATGCTTTAAGTAGTGAAACATAGTTAAAATATCTCAAACCATGGTGGAATCAAGAAGGTCAAAAAAAACGAAACGTTGCTTTTAAAAAGTCCAGCTCAATGGCTCGTAGAATTCTGAAAATATCTTGGCACAATTTCGTATCCTTCGTAAAGCATAATTCATCGTCAAATATTATCTACAACAAAACAATATCTGGTAAATATTTTGCCCATTACATACCTATTCTCAAATGCAATAATTTACAAATATAACATATTGCTAATGCTTTTACTGAAGTTTCTATTGCTGTAATTACCAAGAACCATTTGCTATTATAAAAAGAAAATGTGAAAAAGTCAAACTAATGCCAAGAAACACGAACGGTGACTATAATAAACCCTTTACTCCAGAGGAATTTCTATAAGGTTTAAAAAATACCCATCCTACAACACCTGGTCCTGATTTGGTGCCTAACCTAACCTAACGAATACAACCTAAAAGCATGTTCTGTAATTATATAAACGTATATGTGCAGAACGAACTTTCACAGAAAACTGGTTAAAAACATAAAATACCTATTGTTAAACCAGGAAAAAAATCCCGAAGACTCCACTTGCTACGGCCTATCTCGTTAACTAGCTGTATCTGTAAAATTCTGAAACAATTTTACATGTTGAGGGCATATTCGCACTTGAAACAAAATTGTCTTTAAAAGTACAGAAGTGATTTCCGCAAAGGATAAAGCACGGTGATATCTGTTAAAACTTGAAATTAACGTTCGTCAGACTTTCCGTAAAAATCGGCACTTAGTTTCAAGTTTATTCACATAGAGAAGCCCTATGATAGAACATGGGGGTATAGAATACTTAGAGACCTCATCACTTTTTCCCTCGAGTGGGGTGGATGGTTAAATTCTTTAAGTAAACACTGGCAGTCACACTCCCGGGATAGACTAGTGATATGTCCCTTCGTTTTTTTTTCTTACCCCTTGTCGTGGTCGCCAAATTTGCTAATGAGGGATTTTCGTCTGTGTTCAATTACTTCCCTGATGGGAAACGACCACCTACGTGTTCGCCGTGACCCTTGGCCCTGCAAAAAAGGAACCTGGTACCCCAACACCATGCTTTAGCCCGTGCTTCAGGTAAACGGTAGGTGCATATCGGCCTGTATGCACCAATCGGCTTGTCACGAACGCCATCTGTTGACTAGTGTCAAGCCCGGGAACATTACTGTGCACCTCTTACAGGTGAAGGCTGCTTCAGTGGTGACTTGCGTCGCGGCTAATAGCTATTGGTCAGCATCGATGTTCAAGTAACGGGTTGGGGTTAGCGTCTATCTTCTACGTGCATCCCCTAAGTTGGACTGCGTGGTAGGTGGTGGCTGAAAATAGCACGGTCTTAAGCTCTGCACTAATTACCATATTNCCATCCTACAACACCTGGTCCTGATTTGGTGCCTAACCTAACCTAACGAATACAACCTAAAAGCATATTCTGTAATTATATAAACGTATATATGCAGAACGAACTTTCACAGAAAACTGGTTAAAAACATATAATACCTATTGTTAAACCAGGAAAAAAATCCCGAAGACTCCACTAGCTACGGCCTATCTCGTTAACTAGCTGTATCTGTAAAATTCTGAAACAATTTTACATGTTGAGGGCATATTCGTACTTGAAACAAAACTGTCTTTAAAAGTACAGAAGTGATTTCCGCAAAGGATAAAGCACGGTGATATCTGTTAAAACTTGAAATTAACGTTCGTCAGGCTTTCCGTAAAAATCAGCACTTAGTTTCAAGTTTATTCACATGGAGAAGGCCTATGATAGAACATGGGGGTAGAATAATTAGAGACCTCATCACTTTTTCCCTCGAGTGGGGTGGAGGGTTAAATTCTTTAAGTAAACACTGGCAGTCACACTCCCGGGATACACTAGTGATCTGTCCCTTCGTTTTTTTCCTACCCCTTGTCGTGGTCGCCAAATTTGCTAATGAGGGATTTTCGTCTGTGTTCAATTACTTCCCTGATGGGAAGCGACCACCTACGAGTTCGCCGTGACCCTTGGCCCTGCAAAAAAGGAACCTGGTACCCCAACACACTGCTTTAGCCCGTGCTTCAGGTAAACGGTAGGTGCATATCGGCCTGTATGCACCAATCGGCTTGTCACGAACGCCATCTGTTGACTAGTGTCAAGCCCGGGAACATTACTGGGCACCTCTTACAGGTTACACCATGGAGACTTATGTCGCGGCTAATAGCTATTGGTCAGCATCGATGTTCAAGTAACGGGTTGGAGTTAGCGTCTATCTGCTACTTGCATCCCCTAAGTTGGACTGCGTGGTAGGTGGTGCCACTGGTAGTGGTAGCTGAAAATAGCACGGTCTTAAGCTCTGCACTAATTACCATATTCGA